CAAGGGAATGCTTCAGGTACCTACTAGATAAATCAATAACGGCGTGACACTTGGCAACAAGTCGAAAATCGGCCAAGTTTGAAGCTCCACAAAAGCAACCGATGACTTTCCTTTGTTTTATTATAAATCATTATCGTACTGAAGTCTAACATTCACAAGTGAATATCCTCCGGCTATACTCGAAGCAGTGAATTATGTCCCAATGGTTTCAGACCTGCGTCTAATTATCCACCCACGTAAGGTGAGGTGGAGGCTCCCCTTCTGTTTTTATCAAGGAGTCTTCAAACATCATCGACAGATTGATAATGTTCCTGATGGTAACCGTGTGTGTGATATCAAGATGGGTGAATGGTTGGTGGTTGTGAGTGACCATAAGCAATGAATACATGAATGATGACGACGGAGAATGATGGAGAGAGCCCTTATAAATGTATGGACATAGATAAGATTATCTATAATTCAGTAATATTTAATTCTCAAGACGCATCATCTAAGCAACACATGGATCAAGCATTGGCCGATAAAGGGCCATACTACGTGAAGTGGTAATTGAAGAGAACAATCAACATTTATCAACACAATACATTGTAAGAGATCGACCACAACGATACATAGAAAACATGACAGTTTACTTTAAGTCGATAAAAACTTAGAACTCGAAATCCCTTGCGTAAGTCGATTGCTTTTTTTTCGACAGCCGTATCGACTTAGGTGAGGTCGACTGTATATTATTTATACCACATGAATGCATCACGTGCAACACATTTTGCGCACACAGTTTAATATCATAAATGATATATATGTTTAGTATACTGTTTTTTTTTTTTTTTGATGACAATCGATTATTGGGATTTTGAATAACAAGCGCTTGGTTCGAGCCAGCTGTTCAACATCGATTATCGCGTATAATTGATGGTCGTGACAGTCACTTAATTGGACTCATCCAGTCTTTTCCGGCATTTTATAGCGTCACATAAACATTTGACCAGTTGTGGTGGGTTATACCACTGGTGAATCTCGTAGTGAATGCCGTGGTAACCACGGTTGGATCGTTTAGTGACTTCCGCTGGTAACGCACGGTAAATCGTTAGTGATCGTGGGTAACCTCACGTGATACGTTAGTGGAATCCGTGGTATACGCACGGTGAGTCGTTTGAGTGAATATCCTGCTCCGGCGCTAGCATGCGAAGGGCCTTCCCGCACCACTATAAGCTTCACGCATAGCAAGTGGTTTCCTGCCAAAAGGCTCTGGGAAGCGTGGAGTATTGTGGTGTGTTTTGCAGTTTTCGAGGTTCTCAGCAAGCGGTACTGCAGATAAATTTGGAAACAAATGTTGCCAATTGGTAATGAGAGTCCTGAAACCACATAATCACTTTTTGAGTTCGCGATTACGTTATAATATTACTTAGAATGGACGGTCAGCAATGGGTTCCACACGGGAAAAGTAAAATACGTGAGAACACTCATAGAGAAAGTGTTTGTAAGTCGAGAACATACACACTGCGCATTGCGTATGACAAGGATTCTAAAATTTAAATTAGCCGCTATTGCTTGTCCTGACTTAATAGAACACTACTTTTACTCTGACGGTGGGGGATTTAAATTTGAATTATGGCTTATCGCGCTTAAAAAGCACCACATATGTATTTTATCCAATGTATGGTGGATTCCTAAATTTAAATTGTTCTTTTTGTCCGTCTAAATTTAACACACGATTTAATCCACGGTATGCATTCCCTAAATTTAGAACTGACTACTAATGTCACTTGAATACACGCATGTGCGCAGTGACGTGCCGTTCATGTTTTGGACTTCAAACTTTCTAACACTCCTAATCACTTTCTATATAGGTTTGATGGGGAAAAGATTGAGACTTTCAGAAACCTCATAAAGTCGCGGCATTTCTCTCAGGTCTTCCATAATTTGATGCATTCCTATGAGCTTATTTACGATTTCAGTTCCCAATAAATTTGAGTTTTATGATGAAGAACAGTGATTCGTCAGCGATGGGTCGGTGTTTTTGGAGATAATCTCTGTGTGGCTGGCTAGAAAAATTTGAGCGAGGCGCCTACACTCACGTCGTGATAATGCCGGGGAAATCACATGCCATGCTAGACTCTCTCATAACCCTGCAGTCACTAGCATGCTGTGTTTGACCTTGTGCATGTAGCCAGGTGCATGTCATCACGCATCGCACTGCACGCACGCACGCACGTCCCACGGACGGCTCACCACCAAGCGCACACACGCATGCACAGTCTATCCTCTCTGCATGTCAGAGCTGTCTTCATCTTGAAATGCTGATACTGTGGCGGACCTCATGTGCTACATGAAATCTGTAAGTATCCTGGCCTCAATGTTCTCTGAAAAATATGTAAAACAACATGTAAAAGTATATCTTATATTACATATCTATAACTATATCATATATATACATATCTATATCTATAACTATATACATATATATATATATCTAACTATATATATAACGCTTTCTCTCACACACTCACCCATGAAGGCATCCAGGGCTGTAGTGACAGCTCCAGGCAGCGGCGGGCCACCGTCCACGCACACGCACATCACTAACAGCACACAGCACGCCTCATGAAGGATCCATGGCTGGTAGTGACAGCTCAGGCAGCGGTCGGCGCCCGTCGCCACGCACGCAGCACACACGCAGGACACACACACACTCACCCATAGAATGCATCCTAGCTCCTGCAGGTGAAAGCTCCAGCAGCGCGGGCCGTCCGGTCTCACGAGCACGCCCTGCACCACACGCACAGCACACACAGGCACTCACTCCATGAGAGGCATCCACCCTGCACGTGGACAGCTCCAGGCAGCGGCGGCACACCGTCCGAACGCTCTTACGGCGCGGCCACGCACGCTACGCCCAGCACACACACTCACTCCTATGTAAGGCATTCCATGTGCCCTGCAGTACAGCTTTCCAGGCACGCGGCGGGGCCAACCGGTCCAGGCACATACCACACACATAACACACCACCACTCACCCATGAAGGCATCGCAGGCGTAAGTGAAGCAGTCCAGGCAGCGGCGGGCCACCGTCCACGCACGCACGCACGCACACACACACTCACCCATGAAGGCATCCAGCCCTGCAGTGACAGCTCCGGCAGGGCGTGGCCACCGTCCACACACATTGCCTGTGGTGTTTTCACCACAATGTGGTTTTCACCACTGACCATCGAAGGCATCCAGCCCCTGCATGACAGCTGTCAGCAGGCGGGGGCCCCGCCACGCAGCATGCCGTCAACACCACACACTCACTACGCATGAAGGTCATCCCTAAGTCCCTGCAGTGACAGCTCCAGGAAGCAGGGCGGCCGCCGTCCAGCGACGCACACGCACTACGCACACACACAGATATCACACTCACCTGATTCGCGAAGGCTATCCAGTCCCTGCAGTGACAGCTCCAGCAGCGCGGGCCATTCGTCCACTCCGCAGCTTACGCACCGACACACAGTCTTTGTGATTCACTGCACCCTGAAGGACAATCCAGCGCTGCAGGACTAGCTCCAGCAGCGGCGGCCACCGTCGCAAGCACGCACGCAACGCACACACTTCACCCTGAAGGCAATCCAGTCCCTGCAGTGACACTCCAGCAGCGGTCGGCCCACCGTCATGCACGGCACGCACACACACACCATTCAGCTCACTCCTGAAGGCATCTCAGCCCTGCATGACAGCTCCAGGCAGCGGCGGGGCCCCGTCCAGCACCACACGCACGCACGCACGCACACATCTCACCCATGAAGGGTCATCCAGCTGCAGTGGACTAGCTCCAGGGAGCGGCGGGCACGTCCACATCACGTGGGTGGTGTTGCTTTTGGATTGGCCACGCACGCACCGGCCAGTTGGTTTGCCCAACAAGCACTCACCCATGCAGGCATGCCAGCTGCATGACAGCTTCCAGGCAGCGGCGGCCACACGTTGCGCACAGAGCACGGCACGCACGCACACACTGTCAACCCATGAAGGCATCCAGCCATGCAGTGCGAGCAGCTCCAGGCAGCTGCGGCCACCGTGCCACAACAGCACATCACTCACAACACATGAAGCAGTCCCCCTTGCGAGTGAAGCTCATGCGTGCAGCGGCGGCCAACCGTCCACCACACACACGGCAGCGCACACACACACCACACACTACCGTATGGAAGCATCCACCCTGCATGACAGCTCCAGCGCGCGGCCCACCTGCCCTTGCACGCACGCACAGCACTGCATACCCCCCCGCACATCACCCAACACTCATGCATGAAGGCATCCAGTCCTTGCAGGAAGCTCCAGGCAGCGGCCGGGCCCACGCGTCCCAACGCACGCACGCTACCGGACGCACGAACCAACCACCTCACCCATGAAGGCACAGCCTGCAGTGACCAGCTCCCAGGCAGCGGGGCCACGTCCACACCACACACAGCACGCACACACACACACAATGCCACGTCACGCCATGAAGGCATCCAGCCCTGCAGTGACAGCTCCAGGCAGCGGCGGGCCACCGTCCACTGCCGCACGCACCGCACCACACTTGGTCACCTGAAGCTCCAGCCTGCGTGGACTAGCTCCAGGCAGCGGTGGGTCCACCGTCGACACGCAGCGGGTCGTAGTATGGCATCGTCATCAGGTTCTTATCGTGCGTCTCGTCACGCTCTGCAAGCAGCAACCGATGTGACCGTGTGAGTCAGGAAACTTCATCGATCCTCACGGAACTAGTAGTTAAGTACATAATATATAGTATAATAATCAGTAATAATAAAATAATATAAATCAATAAGTAATAATGCAAGCATGGTAACAGCATGGATGTTGTTTATATTGTGGTGAATGATACGGGGGTGGTGTTATGGAGGCATGACTACTAACTAGCAGTAGTGGTAGTAGCAGTAAGCCAGCAAGGCAGCACTAGCTGTAGTCGCATAGTAATTAGTAAGGCAGCATAAGTATTATCAGTATTTTAGTAATTATTTCTATTATTATTATTATTGTTCTTCTTCTTCTTATCCTTATTATATGACTATAGTATTTTTACAAGTGTATATATATATATATAATATCTATATAGACATTCATGGCGGGGGGGGGGGGAGGGTACGCCCAGTTTCCTTGTCGCGTGATCGGTTGGCGTCATCCCAGGTGTGTGTGTGTGCAGCTAGCTCCAGGAAGTCCACGTCCCAGTGTCTGCTTCTTCAGGCGATGCGCTTACCGCGCAGCGTTCGTCTTTCGCGGGCCGACCTCTGACGCTGACCGTTGTATCTGCGTCGCGCCGCCGGCTAGCTTCTTACCGTGTCCGCTGTGCCAGCTTAACGATGATCTGTGGTCGACCGACTGTTGTGACATAGTTTTGAACGGAAGTGTGACTAAACGTCATTATACACGATTGACATGATAACTTCATTATTTCGTGACAGTGTAAGTCATTATCCGTGATCATGGATACGACATTACCCGTGAGCGATATACGGTCATTACATCGATAACATGATAATTTAAGAATTAAAATATATGACGCAACGCGAAGCCCAGCGCGAGGAAGTCACTATGACACACACGCCACAAGGTCAAGCACGCGACGCACCAGCACACTCAGGCAGAGCACACACGCAAGCACGCACACGAGCACGCACCACGCATGTTCCCGGTCTTGTCCTTACGCAGTCTTTGGAGGTTGTGTTGTTTTTCTGTCTTATGCGACCACGCAAGCTGCACGCACGCACGCCCCACTCGAACGGCCCACATGCAACACACACGCAAGCACACAACCACGCGACGCATCCGGCATCACGACACACAACACAGTCACACAGCACTGCTGCCCCCTCCTCCTCGCACCTCAAATGGTATCCTGCGGGGCCACGTTGCCCTTGATCCTGCCCTCCCTCCCACCTACCTCCCTCCCTCTTCTCCCCCATTCTTCATCCCCTCCTCGCACTCCCTCTAACGGTACCTCAGGCGCGTCATACATTGTAGACTCTCCTCTCCTCCTCTCCTTACCTCCTCCTCCTCATCTTCCATCTTCATGCCCTCCTCTCCTCCTCCTCTCCGCATCTTCATACGCCCCTCCCTGCACTCACTTACCTCAGCGAGCTATCTGTAGACTCTATCTCTCTACTCCCCTCGCTTCCTCCCTCCCCCTCCCTCTCCCTATCTTCATCCCCTCCTCCTCGGCATCCCTCACGTACCTCAAGGCGCGCTAGATCGTAGGACTCTCCTCTCTCAGAGCGTTAGTTTTCGGCGGCCGGGTCCGAAGCTTGTTCCACTTCCGTTCTCGTCTCGATGTCCGAAATCCACTAAAACCACGAACACAGCATTGGCGGGTGAGTGGTCGTGTATTCGGCAGCAAGTTGTGAGGGTAACGAGTCAGAGACGGCGACGACAGACTTCATCCTCTACAGAGCACCTACCGCTACAGAGCACCACCTCATACAGACGCAGCCACTTCCCTACAGACAGCCGACCGCTCCAGGCAGCTCGCCTCTGCAGAGCATAGCCACCTCTAAGAGCAGCCGCCTCATACAGAGCAGCCGCCTCTACAGAGCACTATGCCTCATGGCAGAGACAAGCCGGCCTCTGCAGGGAGACCACCTCCTAGAGAGGCAGCCACCTCTCAAGCAAGCCACCCTCTACAGACAACCACCTCTGCAGGCAGCCACCTCATGCAGACAGCACGCTCTAGAGAGCAGCCCTCTCTACCGCAGAGCATCCACCTCTCAACACAGAGCAGCCACCTACTAGAGAGCAGCCATCGAGCTAACAAGTAGCCACCTCTAACAGAAGCAACGCCTGCTAAAAGAGCAACCACCTGCTCAAGAGCCAGTCACCTCTAACAGAGAGCCACCCTCTGGCAGAGCAGCCACCTCTAAAGGAGACCACTCCTACAGAGCAGCAACTCTATACATAGCAGATCGCCACTCTCTACAGAGCAGGGCCACCGCAAGAATCGCTGGGAAGTATTGCGCAGTGGAGCGGAGGCGACTCGTCTACAAACAAATCACACGGCAGTTTTAGGGCAACTACCCCATTAGATCTGGGCAGTTTACGTATTGGACCATTCGAGAAAGCTTAACCCTCTGAAAAATGCAGTTTAGATAGTCACTATTTTACTGTTTTTTTTTAATCCAAGTGACATGCTGCAAAGGAGAAATTTAAAAATATTGTATTTTATAAATGAAGAATATGCCAAATATGTATATTAAAAAAACCTATCCTCATAAGCGTTATTTCGCGTCCGGAGAGTTTCCTCCTGGGAGATATCGACGCCCCGAGGTGCGTCGTGTGCGACTCGCCGTGGCGAAACCGTATGACCCACCAGCAGCTCATCCGTTGAGCGAGAACAGAGTCTACGGACGTGGGTGAAGTCCGTGGAGTCGAGTGGGAGTTAGCGTTGGAACGTGTCGACGTCGGTGAAGCTCGTGAGCTGCGTGTTAGCACCGCCGCTCCGCTCGGCAAACACCGACAGCGCTCTCCGTCGAGTGTGAGCGCCGGCATGCAGCAGCAGCTCCCATCCTGCGCTGCTGCGGCTGCTGCTGCTGCTGCTTCTGCTGCTGCTGCGGGTGCGACAGGGGGCTCGCGGCGTTGTTCTCCTTGTCCTTGATGGCGTGTGCTGCGGAGAGCTGAACGGTACTCACGTTGGTTGCTATTGCTGCGTCGCGCGTTGCGCTGTCGGTGTGCACCGCCTCGGTGTAAGTTTTCGGCATATTCCGTTGCTCTTCTTACTGCTCCTTAAATCAGTATCATAATGCGGCATTCCACTATCACTACCCATTCCTGTAACCATAAACATCACCATGCAACATCTAATCAAGTCTATCATCATCATCATTTAATGTATCATCATCATTATCATGCATCATCATCATCATCATCATCAATCATCATCTATCATCATCAACATCAATACACCATCACCTATACGTCACATGACCATCACTCATCACCATCATCATCATACATGACCATTCACCAATCCGTCCATCATACCATCATTCATCGCATCACCATCATTCACCATCACATCATCATTACATAGTCATCATGCATCAATCTATATCTCATGTTACAGAGTACACATCTACATCTAACATGTATATCTCTCGTTACATGTTACACACACACCGTCTGCATCCTACATAACCATGTGCATAACTATATCCTCAGCATTCAAACATAAAGCAGATACACTAATAAATCTCTAACATGACAACACATAGCCGCACTGGCACGCACACACACACACATCACGAGCCCGCCACACACACACAACACAGCACAGCACGCAGGGATCGCAACGCACGCAACGCACCCACACACATATGCACAGACACACACACATGCAGACGCATGCACGACACGCCACGGGAGGGTGTGTTACGCAGCAGTCATAATGGCCCGGCGGCAACGATGACATACAACGTTGCTATACTCGAGCTGCCAACCGAGACTGCACTCACCTGAGTTTTGGAATCCTTCTGGCATTGGATTAGTACGCTCCACGCTGGCAATGCAAGCGGGAGGTAGAGAGAGCTAGTGAGAACCGTTTGTTGGTGTTTTCAAGTCGGATCAAGAGACTCCTTCCCTCTCCCGGAGGTCCTGATAATTCTTATTCTGCTCAATACCATTGGGAGTATTAAGTTTTACACACTGGGTGGATATCTTACCTTATCTTCTATATAATCATGGTCCATTATCGAGGTATTTATTGTGATGCATTCGTGGTCCTACATAATACGCTTTGTTTGTATCGCTGGCGTGCGTGCGTGGTGCACCATGTGCATTGTGCGTGCTGTGTGTGCGTGGCGTGCGTGTGTGCGTGTGTACATTGCGGCGTGAGGGGGGGGGGCGGGGGGGGGGGGGGGGGGGGGGGGGGGGGGGGGGGGGGGGGGGGGGGGGGGGGGGGGGGTGGGGGGGGGGGGGGGGGGGGGGGCGGGGGGGGGGGGGGGGAGGGGGGCGGGGGGGGGGGGGGGGGGGGGGGGGGGGGGGGTTTGTTTTGCCGTGTTCACATGCTGCGTGGTGTGTGTTTTCAATACCTGGGTTTCTAATTAATAGTAACATGTGTGGCGTGTGTGATTGCGGGTGTGGTGTGTTATTCATACCTGGGTTCATATACAATAGTACATTTATGTGTGTGCGTGTGCAGTGTGGTGCGGTGGGTGTGTTTCATACCTGGGTTTCTATAAATAGTACACATGCTATGATGTGTGCGGGTGTACATGTGTCGCGGGTGTGTGTTTCATACCCTGGGTTATCAATACTACATTGTGTGATCGTGTGTACATGTGCGGTGGGTTGATACCTGGGGTTCTAACCAATAGTACATTGATTGTGCTGTGTAACAGTGCGTGGATAGTGTTTGGATACCATATGGGTTCTTATCATAGTAAATGTGTGTACATGTGTACGTTGTGCGTGGGTATGTGTTTGATACCTGTGGTTCTACCAATACTACACGTGTGTGTGCCGTGTTACATGTTGCGGGTGGTGTGATTTCATACCTTGGTTCTAGTCAATAGTAAGTATGTGCGTGCGTGGTACATGTTGTGGGTGGTGTTGATACCTGGTTCTTCGGTCATAGTACATATGTGTGTGCGTCTTGTAGCATGATGCGTGGTGTGTGTTTCAATACCCTGGTTCTAATCAATGACGTAACATGTGTTGGGTGTCACATTTGCGGGTGGTGTTTCATACCTGGGTTCTATCAATATACAATTGTGTGTGCGTGTGACATGTTGTCGGTGTGTGTTCATACCTGCGGGTTTCTATCAATTAGTACCACTGTGTGGCGTGTGTCCATGTTGCGGGGTGTTGTTTTGATACCGGGTTCATACCAATTAGTACATGTTGTGAGGTGTACATGTGTGCAGCGGTGTGTGTTTCAATTACCTGGATTCTATCAATGAGACATGTATTGTGGCGTGTTAAATGTGTCGGGTGTTGATGTTTCATACGCTGGGTCTATCAATAGTACCAGTCTGCGGGTTGTGTGCGTGTTACATGTGTCGGCGGGTGGTTTTCATACCATGGGTTCTATACAACTAGTAATGAAGTAGTAGTGACAGGCTCCCCGGTCCAATGACACGCGATCCCCCCATCCGCTTGATATCTGCACTACCGCATGATCTGATCCAACATCCCCTCAAGTCAGATACATAACATCCAAGACATCAATCAATAGAATATGTAAATCAGAGACTATATGGATAAGATAGTTAATGAAGGGAGGGCACGTCAAGGATAAGCATAGTCTATATAGAGTAAGTGGGAATGGATCAATAGAGAGAGATGAAATCAGAGCGGAGGCTGGTCTTTTGTTTAAAAAACACTGTGCGGCTGACAGATACCAGTCCTATAACGCGATCAGCTTCAGTTAGTGAGCGTGAGAAGTAAGGCCGATTGGCCAGGCGAAAGAACAACAGATCCGGACCGCATATAAAACCGCAGCACGAAATGTGACGGAGGCTGCTCGAAGTATCTGAGCTAGGGTTCATAGTAGTAAGACATCATGTTGAAATAAGGACTCTAAGACCTTTCTGGCGGCAAAATATCTTTTTTACCGCGATTTCTGATAGATCACGGACCTATGTCAAGTATCACCTAATAATATTTATATACAGCAAATTGCACAGCAGATTTAATTATGCCGTATATATATAGTAACAATCAATCTATACTCTATAGTCGAGGAATCATTTATAAGAACAATGTTGAAAAAATGGTCCTTCTGGCAAAAAATAAGACTAATTAATACGATTCTAATATTTCACCAAACAATAAGTATATGAACCCTTACTTTTAATTTTGCACAATATAGTATTATATAAGAGTTTGGGAACACCGCACGAACCCTGGTATCCTCTCAGACATCATTGTCTCTAACATACTCTGGATCACGCCCTGTGACCGAACATCAATCGTGCAATCACAAGTTACGTTCGCAAACCACGCGCAGCCATTGTACGACGATGCTGCCGGGGTCCCTTTTGTGGCTTATACACTTGTTTAAGATATTTTCATTAAATTGACTACGTCACTTAATTTTCTATGTGTATATTTGGTAACATTTTTTTGCCATTTGTTGTTACCATTAAACGTAAGTATAACGTACTACCAGTTGTATCCTCAAGAGTTCTACCTGATAAAAATTGGTTTTTCACTAGCTAATAAATCAAAACAAATCTGACCGTTTGACTTGATCGATCCTGACATAATTCTTGCTATGGGCTATGTATGAGTCAACGAGTGTAATGGATTTACAAGCATCGGAACAACATGAGTAACAATAGTAAGGATAATGTACAATTTAACGGCATAAAAAGTCGAAACTAGAATACTCTAAATTTTTGTGAAAAAGTCGAAAATTATTGTTTTTTACGTTTTACCATTTCGGTGACGTAATCAACATTCTAAATACTAATTGCTTCAATATATACGGTGAAATTCTGAGTGTGGTGGGATAATTGTGCTGCGGGATCGGCGTAGCCATGACTTGAGTTCTTCGTCTTCGTTTATGTGCTGCTGCATGAACAGAATGGTAGCTACGTGTATCTCACCGACATTACCACCTATACGATTGCACCCATAGGAACAAACCCGTTACAAATAGCCAATACACATGGATCATCATATACGCGACCATAATTTATATATTATATTAATATATATATAATCTATATTAATAATATTATATCAGAGTTAATAAGAATAATTTGAGTTTGTAGACAAACTCCTGATATATATACAGTGTTTCCCCTGGCCAAAAAGGTCAGCGAAGCGGTGTTTTGGCGGTTGCGCAATCCGAGAAGCGAGCAAAGCGAGCACTGAAGGTGATCGCCATGCTAGGGGGGGGGGGACCGGGGGCATGCTTCCCCAGGAAATTTTTGGTGCAAAAAAAAATGGTGCAATTTGGTGCATTCTAAGCTATTCTGAACACAATATAGGAGACTCTTAAATCAATTTTTCAAGTTGTCATAAGGAACAAACAAGCTTCTGGGGAAAGTTTTACTTTCGTTTTTCTCCTCCCCAGTCCTCGGTACCCCCCTGCATAGATCAATGCTGCCGCATATCAAAGTTACAAGTGCCTAGAATCTTAAAGTATATACAGTTTACATTGCTTCTAGATATCGAACTGAATAAAAATAGTCGACTTTCTACGTAAAGAAAAGTGCCAAATTCAGTTAACAGCTTTGATTACAGGCGTGTCAGGTGTCACTGGTGCTGAGAGGGTCTATGTCCCCCAGGGTACTGCGGGAACATACCCTGAGTACGGTCCGGTATACCGGAACGTACCCTGGTACTAAATACTACTATCTAATATGCCTGACCGTACCTCGCCTACTCCATTAATGAGTCTAGGGAGTCGCCTACGCCTACACCCTAACCCTAACCCTAACCATATCAGCCAGATGAGACGGGATACTAGAGAAGCGTTGCCGAAAGGAGGTGTTGATCTGAAGCGCTGAGCGCAGATCTTGCGCGCAGTTCCGCGGCAAGGCGCACGCGACCGCAGGAACGTCCTACAACAGTATGCAGCACTGGCAGCTATGGATTTGTGCACGAATGCATAGGCCGGCGCACGGATCCTTAGCTGCCAGCGAACAGTCCGCAATTTTAGTGGGGGACACAGAGGGCAGACATTTGGGAAGTGAACAGTGTTGACTTGTTATAAAAACATAATAGGCGTGTTCACACACAAGATGAAAGTGTCAATGATACTGTAGCTCACCACAAAAAAAGGACACAAATGAGTGAGTAAGAAGTCAGTTTTAATTGAGCAACCATCGACGTACATTATAGAAACGATTGCCATCTGTATACAGCAATAATAATTTATAAACCAAAATAAATCACAATTTGTGACCGTAGATGGCGCTATACCCACTTTGTAGCGATGGCGTTTGAAATAAATAGGTTATGCTGCGTTCCGACATGTTTTGTAAAACTTTACTCTAATATAGACGTTTTATCGGCAGGGTGGAGAGGAAATACCAATTGCCGCGCATTAAAGATATTGTCAATGAAATCTTGTAAAATGAACCAGACGAGTGTCACACCACAGACTGTTTGTTATCTGCGTTAAATGCTATATAATTGCCAAACCCTAACTAATTTGCATTTTTTTTTTAAATATCAAAACCCCTAGCCCTTATTCATTCACATACCAAAAATGAGCAAAATCCGTTGAACCTGAACTGACTAATGGTGGGTGTGTGTGTTTCATACCTGGGTTCTATCAATAGTATGAAGGTAGTAGGTGACAGGCTTCCCAGTCCATGACACCGATCCCCCCATCGGCTTGATTTCTTGCACACGCATGATTGATCCAACATCTAAGTCAGATACATACATCAAAATCAATCACATAAACATGTAATACAGAGAACTTAGTATGATAAGTAGTTATGAAGGCAGGGCCACGTCAAGGATAAAGCTAGGTCTATATATATGTAATAGTGGGAATTGGACAATAGAGAGAGGATGGAAATAGCGTGAGGCTGGTCTTTTGTTTAAACGCTGGGCACTGACAGGAACCAGTCCTATAACGCGACAGCCAGTTAGTGAGCGGGATAAGGCCGATTGGCCAGGAGAAAGACAACAGACCGGACCAACATATAAAACCGCAGCACGAAATGTGCGGAGGCTCTCCGACTATCTGAGCAGGGTTCATAGTAGTAAGACACATGTTGAAATAAGGACTTATAAGACCCTTTCTGGAGGCCAAAATATGACTTTTTTACGCGATTTCTGATAGATCACCGACTATTAAAGTACACTAATAATATTTATATACACAATTGCACAGCAGATTTAATTATTCCGTATTATATATATACAACAATTCTTACTCTAAGTCGAGAATAGTTTATAAAACAATGTTGAAAAATGGTCCTTTGGCAAAAAATAAGGACTATTAAGTACTTTTCTAAGATTTCACCAAAAATAAGTACTAATAAGACCCCTTATTTTATTTTTGGCAAAATAAGTACTTATAAGAGTTGGGAAGACCCACTACGAACCCTGTATCTCTCAGTAATCATTGTCTCTAACATACTCTGGGAGTCATCCCTGTGACCGCACATCAACCGTGCAAATCACAAGTTACGTTTCGTGCACCACGCAAACATATGTACGCGATGCTGCCCCCTTTGTGGGCTTATACATTGGTTAAGATATGTTCATTAAATTGACTACGTCACGAATTTTCTATGGTGTATATTTGTACATTTTTTTGCCATTTTTGTACATTAAAAGTAAGTACTAACGGCACTAAATGTATCCTCAAATTCTTACCTGATAAAATTGTTTTTCAACTAGTTAAAAATCAAACAAATCTGAGCGATTTGATATTATGATCCTGACAATAATTGCTTGCTATGGGCTATGTATGAGTCACGAGTGTATGTTTACATCGAACAATATAGTAAAATAGGAAGGATAATGTAGCAATTTAACCATAAAAAGTGAACAGAATTACTTAAATTTTGTGAAAAAGTGGAAATATTTTTTTACTTTTACCATTTACGGTGACGTAATCACTTTAAATACTTAATTGCTTCAATACGTACATATCAGTTCTTTCGTTGTTTATGTGCTGTGCATGACAGACATGGTAGCTACGGTGTATCTCACCGACACGTACCACTATTACGATTCACGATAGAACAAGAGCCACGTTACAAATACAATACATCATGGATCATCAATACGCCTATATTTATATATATATATATATTATTATATATTATCAGAGTTAATAAAGACAAATTTGTAGACAAACTCCTGATATATATACAGGTGTTTCCCGCTGGCGCAAAAAAGGTCAGCGAATGCGTGTTTTGGCGTTGCGCAATTGCGCGAGAAGCGAGGCAAAGCGGAGCACCTGAAAACGGATGATCGCCATGCTAGGGGGGGGGGGCCGCGGGCATGCTTCCCAGGGAAATTTTTGTTAGCAAAAAAAAAGGTGGGCAGAATTTTGGTGCATTTCTAAGCTATTCTGAACAACAATATAGGAACTCATTAAATCAATTTTTCAAGTGTCATAAGAACAAACAAGCTTCTGGGGAATAAGTTTTTACTTCGTTTTTCATCACTCCCCAGTCCTCGTTACCGCCCTGCCAGTAGATCAATGCTGCCGGCATATCAAATTCAAGTGCCGGTAGAAATATAAAGTATATTACAGTTTTACATTGGTCTGTCTAGATACGAACTGAAATAAAAAATAGTCGACTTTCTACGTAAAGAAAAGGCCAAATCAGTTAACAGCTTGAAATTTACAGGCGTGTCCAGGTGCATCTGGTGCTGAGAGGGCGTTATGTCCCCGTCAGGAGTCACTGGAACTATACCCTGAGTACGTCCGTGAGGTATATCCGGAACGTACCCCTGGTACTGAAATACTACTATCTAATATGGCCTGACCGTAACCATCGCCCCTACTCCAGTTTAATGAGTCTAGGAGTCGCCTTAACGCCTACAGCGCCTACCTATACCCTAACCAATATCAACCAGATGAGACCGGGATTACTAGAGAAAGCGTGCGAAAGGAGGGTTGATTCTGAAGGCGCTGAGGGCCCGTCTTAGATCTTGGCCCGCGCTAGTTTCCGCCGCGCAAGGCGCAGGCGCGATCGCGGAGGACGTCCTACAACAGTTAGGTGGCACACTGGTCAGCTATATGATCGCGTGCAACTGAGATTGCATAGGCCGGCGCAACGGATCCTTAGGCTGGCCAAGCGAATCAGTCCGAATTTTTAGTGGGGATCCACAGAGGGCAGCACATTTGGGAATGTGAAGCAGTGTTTGACTTGGTTATAAAAACATAATAGGCGTGGTTCACAGCACAAGATGAAAGTGTCAATGATCCTGTAGCTTCACCACAAAAAGAAGACACAAATGAGTGAGTAAGAAGGTCAGTTATTGACAACCCATCGACGTACATTATAGATAACGATTGCCATCGTGTATACAGCAATAATAATGTTATAAACCAAAATAAATCACAATTTGTGACGCGTAGATTGCGCTATATCCACTTTGTAGCGATGCGTTTGAAATAAATAATGGTTTATGCTGCGTTCGCGATTCATGCGTTTTGTAAGAAAACTTGTTACTTCTAATATAGACGTTTTTATGCGGCAGGTGGAGAGTGAAATACCAATTGCCGAGCGCATTAAGATATGTCAATGAATCTTGTAAAATGACAGCCGGCAGAACGAGTGCACACGCAACCAGACTGTTTGTTATCTTGCCGTTATAGTGCTATATAATTGCCAAACCCTAACTAATTTGCGATTTTTTTTTTAAAATCAACACCGCCTTACCTTAATTCTTCACGATACCAAAATGAGCAAAATTCCGTTGAACGCTGAACTGAACTAATGGATAATTCCATTTTTGCCAAAAAAATCGCCGTGCTGGGAACAGCACCCGAACGGCGTCTCCAAAATAGACGTTTAATATGGGACATAGGGCAAGTAAACAACTAGTCACCCAATTCTCCAAACACCCCTGTGGTCAGACGTTTCGTTTGACCGCCAGTTGAACGGTCAAAAGTTATCGCTTGAGCCCGAAGCCAAATGTTGCACAGAACGATGTACACAAACCATGGCAATAGCTCAGCTTGACGATGTCAAGGTGAGGCTAAAAACACTGCGATGCGTAATCGCGATGGAAATACCGATATATCATTGTGTCCCTGTTCACACGAGGCGGAAATATCTGCAACTAATGCGCCGAGCGGAATAGAATTCTATTAATGAACTGCCATATGCCTGATATCAAGCCGAAATATAACCCTTCCGGTCCGCCGCGGTGGCGCAGAAATTTATGTACTACCGGGATTCGAGTTCGGTGTTCGATTCCCACGTACACGGCAGTTCAGTCGTTGGTAGTAGTGCTCGCCTTCATGTTACGTTAAGTATGGCTAGCTCTAGCTCTCTTACGTTAACGTAGATGCTCGACGCTACGTCTGGTCACGTATTTAACGTAAACACATCGTATTGTTTAGTAACAGAGTCTGAGAACTGGACTTTTCAGATTGAATTGAGATCGGCCGATTAGCCCTCCCTTTCTGTGAATAAGCCAAAACGGCCAAGTTGATAACGACTGCGTTGGAATGACTGGGAATAGAAAATAGCGGCGGATTATTGCGCGAGGCGGTTCATGCGAACCAGCAATCGCCGCGGTGGGCAATTTAATCTACGCCTATTCCCAATAATCCGCAAGTCAAAAAGTGCGATTTTGCAGCGCAGTGCGATCGCGGATACGTAGGAGATTTTTGCGTTCAACACTTGTAAAAATCTCGAGATTTCGATCTGGATGTCAAAATACAGAGATTTCATCCTGCTAAAATTTCCCGAGCCGAGTGTGAAGGCCGCTATGTCTCTTCTGTTCGTAACGAGCTTGTGTCCACGTGAAAATTCACAGCAAGACTGACGAATTCTCCGCCCCGTTCCGCGAACTCTTGCACCAGTAATGAAATGGCTGGCAATGACCACAAAGGCTATATAGACTGGCACTCGCTCCCACCTCGATTACCCATCGAGTGACTATATAAGCTAAGCCGAGAGGTGGGAGCGAGTGCCAGTCTATGGGCTATAGGCGGCGCGCAGGCGGCGCACTGCTTTCCAACTCCCGTACGAGCCTCGCCATTGGAACGTTGCAAAAACGTTGCAGCGTTGCGGCGCAAGAATGACGTCACGAAGAGCGCCGGTAGGTGTTTCCTGATTCTGACCGCCATTTCCATTACTGGGCAAGGTTCGCGAACGCAGTGACACAGCTCGGTTAAAAACAGAGACATAATTTTTTTATAACAAGTGAACACTGTTGTTGAACGAGAAACAAAGATGGAAGCTGTTGGATGTGTATTCGTGCTGTGAAAGTGTCAAATCAAGCGAGCATCGAGCAAATTTTGGCAGCACGCTTTCCTACCTGCTATATATAATTAGTGTAAGCGTGCAACAGTCGTACCACGACAGCAATGGCAGCCGGCAGCGTATGTTGGACGTAGAATTTCGACAGAATTTACATGAAAACTGTCGGCAATAATAGGTGAAAGAGAGTAGGCCTATAGAAACATAAAGAATTTGGTAGTAAATAGATTTCGTATTTAGTTAGCATTATATTTTATTGAAACGCTTCAAGTGCCTGTGTCTAGTATAGGGGTATTCTAACCCTAGCAAAGAGCGTTTCTTGGAGCTAGTAGTAGTAGTAGTACTATACTATATAGTATTAGTACTAGTAGTAGTTGCTCTAGTACTATAGTAGTAACTTACTAGTAGTAGTAGTACTAGTAGTCTAGTAGTACTAGTAGTAGCCCGACCAGGCTGTGCGACGG